ATTTCCTTGTAAAATTCAACTTCATCATCCGTGTGGCTATACTTTGCGGTTTGCGGTAACCGCAAGTTTTGAAAATCAAATACCGCAACCGCAACCGCAAATGCGGTTCGGTTCTTAATACCGCAAATGCGGTTCGGTTTACCGCGATTGCGGTTTCATTGCGGTAAATTATCGGTTGATTTTTGCGGTTTTTCGGTTTTTCGGTTTAAAATGCCACCCCTATGTTTTACACATCAGAAACAGATACCTAAGGGAATATGAGATGTAAACAGAAAACTAAGGGAATGTGAGATGAGGTTCTAATCCAATCATTTAACAAGGAGCACTTGAACCTAGAGCTCTAATATTCTGGTAAAGTATACTGTATAAGGAATGGACCAATGTGTATCCAAGCTAACAACACGAACAACATTACAGAATGAAACAAAAAGCAATTGTTTCCAAGTGTTACAGTATTATGCAGCTTCAAGTGCTAGATTACCCATCAGTTTAACCAAAGGCAAAGGACACTTTGTAACAATATCGAACCTAGATGGGAAAGAGGCACGGCCAAACAGCGATAAACTCAACAAAGCAAGCTCTCTAAGAGACAACCTTGAGGAGAGAAACCCGTGCCAGTAATAAGGATCCAAGTCAAAGAAAGCATCAAAGAACCTTCTACTCCCATCCAGATCAAGCTTTAACAAAGTCTCCATACCAAAAGAGTAAAACTCCCGTACACATCTCCTTTCAATTGGCCACAAGCCATTCCATGCTTTATGATAAAGTGGCTGTCCTCTAATCATTCGGGTTGAGCCAAGGCACTCTGCAATGGCCTCAGCCAATATCGGGGCTAGAGCCATGGTCCGAGCCACCATGTACCCAGTTGAAGGGTGGACGACCCCAGAAGTCCCTCCAATTGCCATCACACTTTGGGGGATCCGAGGAAGAGGGCCTCCCATTGGGATCAAACACTTCTCATCTTCAATTATCCTCTTCACTCTAATTCCCAAATGCCTTAGCCTCGCAACCATTCGTTTCTTAACCTCTATATAAGATAACACTGGCCTACTAACAAGTGAAGTTTCTTCTAAGAATACCAAATTTGAATCAAATGGCATAGCGTAGAGAAACGTCGGAAATTTAGAATTACTAGTACGCAAATAAGGTTCATTTCCAAGATGGGAATTTCTCCAATCCATCAGAAGCATCTTATCCAAATCAAAGGGGTGTTCTTCCACTTCAGCCAAAATACCATGAGCAATCTGATACCCATGGTTCCTTGGCTTCTCATACTCTATAAAACTGCTAGCAAACCCACTAGCATCAACAACCAAGCTTGCCTTGAGCTCATTCCCATCGTCACACAAAATCGAAGACTCAAACTCTTGGTGCTGGATTTTCCACACCTTGGCCCTGTGAAATTGAACCCCAT